GTCCTAGCGCCCGCCCAGCAGATGTTCCTGACCTGTCAGCCAGCGGGGGGCCGAGCAGCGTGTCCCTCCCAGGGAATTCGAACGCACACTCAAAGAATGTGACCTGTGTCCGTTTCAGCATGTCAAGTTACCCCGCCGAGTGCGAAGCCAGAGCTCCCTGCAGCTCTGGAGCAGGATGCTGGGCGGATTCCAGCCCTGTGGTTTCTCACCCTCTGGCCCTCCGCTCCCTGGGATCAGCTCGACTGAATTACTGCAGCCTCCTCAGAGTCGAGGGATTGGAGCCAAGAGCCAAACCCCCATCATCACCCTGGCAGGGAAGAGGTGACGGCTGTGCTGGCCAAGCCTGGGATGAGCCGTGTGAACCAAGCCACAGCCCCCCTTCTAGCTAGAAGTAACAGCTTGGAGCTCCCCCAGCCGCCCCCCCGCCCCAATCACTGCGCCCTGCGATGATGCCTGCTTAGAACCACAAGCCGGCTGATAGCGAGGACATGGGGACAGGCCAGGAGGAAACTCGCTCATTGTGTGAAGAGCGAAAAGGAAGTCGAGGCCAGTGCCTGAAGAGCGCACTAGAGATTGTGCGACGGGACCAGCCAGGGGGCCAAGGACTCGCCGCTTGGCAGACTTGGTTGGGAAGGGCCAAGGAGGGAAATGAGCCTCCTAACTAGCTTCCACTTCTACAGCACCTTTCACCCGCCCCACTCGCCAACCTTGTAAGCAAGTGATTTACCCGGTGCTGAAATGCAGCCACTTCTGGGGCGTACCCTGGCAGCTGCTAACAGCCAAACAACACAGAGTAAGACAGGAAGTGCAGAACAGAACTGTGTCTAATTGGAAAGATTAGGGGAGTGCAACATTAACACCCTGATACCTGCAAAAAGCACCAGGGGATTTCATGCACCCGGGCGCGGTCAGGACTCTGACTGAAGGCCTAGCGCCCTGCAGGAGCAGAGCCGTCTCGCTGCGCCGGGGTGGGTCTGCAACTGAGAGAAGACCATTCCCCACCGACTTGCCAGCACCTCTGCCTGCAGCCCCTATCCAAGCACCCGGCAGAGGAATTATCCCACGTGGCCCAGGGCTGCCTTGGCCCCGCTGACCTAACAAGAGCCTAGCTCAGGCCACCTCACGCCCCTGAGCTGACCGGGATGAGCTGGAGCGGAGACCTTGGGGGCCCCTGCCTGGCCTGGGTTCTCACCTCGGTGTATATGGAGGGGGTGAGGTAACAGAGCAGCCGCACATCGTCCTCCTGGCAGGCCTTCATGTCCATCATCAGGCAGGTGTGCAGGTCCCCCAGCTGCGTGGCCTGGGCGAACGACTCGTACAGGTTCATCTTCCCTGCCGCCGCTTTGCTAGAGGGGCCACAGGGCGACATGAGCGAGTGCCCCGGGGAGGGATTCCGGCCGACTGCTGCTCAGGGCTGGGCGAGGAGCAGCTCGACTCGGCCGCCTGCCGAGGGAGCTTAGCCCCAGCCTGACAGCCCCCCAGAAGGCTCTGCCCATGGACAAGGCTGCTCAGCGGGAAGGAAGGAGGGAGGGACCAAACACGAGCTGAACTGCGAAGACAAGTCGCCCCTGCAGCCGCCTGGCTGGGTGGGAATCCCGCAGCGCGCTCCCCGGGTGACAGCAGGATCGCGTAGCGAGAGCCGCCCGCACAGCCCTCTTGGCCGGGTCAGCGCTCAGGTCCATGACGGACGCAGCCTGCCTCTGACCCGCCCACCCCGCCCGGCCGCCCCTACCTGGCTCTCAGGTAGTAGAGAAGGTGGTAGCCAATCTTGGGCTGTTTCTGATAGAGCTCAGACAAGAGATCGAGCAGCAGAGAGAAGCTGCTGTTGTCTTCCTGCATCTGGCAGAGGTTCCTGGACGGGGGTGGGAGGAGAACAGGGACATTCAGATGGGAGAGAACTGTGCCGAGCGCGAGGGGTCCCCTGTGCAGCTGGCGCAGGGAACCCCGATTCCTGGTCCTGCACGGTCCACAGGGCTGATTTGATAGGGGATGTCTTACCCCGCTATGGCAGTGCCCCCCCCGAGGATGGCTGCGGACATGCAGCACGGCGCCTGGGGAGACTGGCTTAGGACACCAGGGCGAGGCCTGACTCGTGGGAAGAGTCTGATGTTGTGCAGACCAGGAGGAGCTGGGATTTCAAGGCCTTGTTTGAAAACTCCTCACTACACAGAATCCACGGAGCTAAATTCCTCCCGTGGGGAAGGGCTGAGGGGAAGCGAGGGGGCCTGAGACTCCACAGCACTCTCCCCCCACCCCCAGAAGTCCCCACTCGGAGGGAAAGGGCTAGTAAGACACAGCTCCAAGAGCCAGGAATCCCCGGGCTGGCGTCACTGCAGCTTAATGGGGCATTTGAAACAGCAGGTAACTGGTGCAGACCCAGCCTTGGGTCAGCAATGGCCCAGGACATCGCCACTGTCCAGCCGCCATTTGGGGCCATGGGGAGTGAGCTGGGGGCTTGGCGCACACACGGCCACGCAGCATCCTCTTGTGGGTGCCTCTGCATGGCCTTCTGCAGACAGCGCCTGGGGCTTTCCTGGCCTGAGCGCGCACAGCAGGAAATCCCAACGGTCCTGGGATACAAGGGGGCAGAGAGCAGCAGCGACTGTATTAAACCCAGCTGTGCAGAGTTCAGCTAGAATGATGGGAGACACCAGGGAAAGCTCAGAAAGACTCACCTAAATATTAGGTAAAGCGGCTTCCCCACCGATTCCTCCAGAGACCTGCGTGGAAAGCGCATTGTCAGCCGGGCGGCCATGACAGCTTGGCAACGGTCATCTGGGGCTAGAGGAAGCTAACGGTCTAATACACTGCCCTTCAAGAGCACCGCACTGCCCTCCCCAGCATTCAGGGTCTGACCGGCAGCACCCCATCGAATGGGCACAGATGCGGGGTGCGAGAGGACACTGGCAGAATGGGGAATAGAACCCAAGAGTCCTGACTCCTACAACCAGGGGGAAGACTAGGAATTACCGGCTCAGCCTAGGAGGTGCCAGGTGGGGTCCTTGGATCTGGGGTCCCCAGGCAGCAAGGGGGGGCTCCCAGTGGCGTGGCGCTAGCTGCCACCCGTTACTCATGCTAAGCAGCGTGGTGGGGGGTGGTATGCGGTGCACTGGGGAGAACGGTCTCGTTCAAGCCCTGGGTGCTGCAGCTGTCTGCTCTGGCTTTGTGCCGTTCGTGACAGCTCTGGTGGTGCACGCTGTGCCAGACGCCGCCGGGGTTTCCTCTGCTCCGTGAAGCTGGGGCCTGTGGAGCAGTCACAGGGAGCAGCGGAAGTTGTAGTGAGAAAAACCCAACGGCCAGCGCGAAAGGATGAGACAGAGAAAAATAAATCCGTACTCCTCTGTGATTTCTTCTGGCAAGACCTCCCCGCGGAAGTGAGCCTTAAATAGCTCCTGCAGGCAGGACGCGAGGATGGATAACTGCTCGGAGTCAAAGTCCTCCTGGGGGAAAGAAAGGCGGGAAAAGAGAAAGTCGCTTAAACGAAGCGCAATCTCCGATCTTCACCCACCAGCTCAGTCCAGTCGCAAGGGGCAGGGTGAGGGCCTGGCACTGCTGTCTATGGCAAGACACACGCGAGTGCCACCAGAACCATCCTGTTGCTATGGCACGGCGACAAGAGCCGGCTGTCCGAGCTGGTTACCAGTGAGACGAGCCCCTAACAGACGCCTGGGTCTGCAGCACTTCACAATCACCGCGAGACACTCAGCCACTAATGGCTGGTAATTCAGGGTGACCGGAGTGGGAGCCACACAGCAGGCAAGAGTACTCTACTCCTGCGTGGGCTCAGCGCACGGGGCTCTCGGACGCAGCCCCCTGAGGACACACGCAGCCTGGAGATGCCGCAGTGGGCACTGGCATGGAGCCCTGTGTGCTGCCCCATTTGGGACATGCTAGGTTCCTGGCAAGTGGCCAGCATGACCCCTGGCTGGCAGAGCATGGCTGAGGCCCCGCGGGAGCTTCTTGGGCTCTCACCCTGACGTGTGCCCCAGCCCAGCACTATCAAAGCAGGGGGAATCTGTCATTTGGACACTTGAGATAAGCAAAACTGACAGGCCTCCCCCTTGGCTCAGTGCCTGGGGCACTCGCCACAGCTAGCAATCAGGGTGGTAAATAAGTCACTCAGACGGCCAGCGCGCCCCTCCTCAGAGCATCTGGGTCACCTCCCCCATGCAGTAATAATCCCCCCAGCCTCTGGCAGCGTGCCTGGGCACCCCACGCTGCTCTGCAGCACCAAGACACTTGCACACGGGCGTGCTTCCCCCACAGGATGGTGCTGCTTCCAGGAGGTCTTTGCTTAGTCACATTTCTAAGTGGAAACGTGAGTGCTTGGATCACGGAGACCCCCCCCCGAGCACCCCCCCAGCCGCTCTCATGTCACCCAGCCTGAGGCAGGAGCGTCGCGTCCGGCTCTGGGCAGCTACCTCCAGGACTTGATCCACAATTTCCTGCATGACCTCACACTGGGCTTCCGTATCGCTGCAGCACAAAAACAAGAGGCAATCCAAGTTACAGCGGGAGATAGCGAGAGCGGAGACAATGGTGCTTTGTACCCAGCCGGCTCTGCGCAGGGGCCCAAAGGACCCCAGAGCTGGAAGGGGGAGTTTCGGAGGCCCTGCTTCGCACTGCTCCGGCACGGGCAGGGAGGCAGGCAGGCCTACAAGCGCACACTGCAGAGAACAAGCTACATTGCTACAAAAGCATTCTGCACTCTTTATGGAAAGGCAAACAAACGAGCTAACAGCGTAAGATTAAACGCACTTAAAGCCGCCAGTGAGATCAGAGGGCCTTGCTGGGATCTGGGAAGCAAAGAGCTTCGTCCGCCTGCTTGAGATGGAGCTAATTCCAAGGTCGCTGAGGTCAAAAGGGAGGACAGAGCATTCTGCCGGGCGTGGGGACAGCGGGAAGGGAGCTGCTCTCCCAGGGGACAGAGAGCTATCGGGACCCTGACTGGCCAGTATCTGCAGCGATTGTGGAGCAATGCCCCCAGCGGCCAGCAGGCCCAGCTAACCAGGTGTCGGAGTGTGGGGGGACACAAGGCCCTGCACCCCCGGCTTCCTGCGATTCACCATGACTCTCAGCCAGCCAGTAAAGTAGAAGGTTTATTTCGAAGACAGGAACACAGTCCAAGACAGGTCTTGCAGGCACAGACAACAGGACCCCCCCGCCAATTAGGTGCATCTTGGGGTCTCAGGGGCACCACAGCCCCCTGGGGGGGAAGGTCAGAGCCCTGTCTGCCTGCCAGCCATTCCACCAGCCAGCTCCTGAAACTCTCTCCCCAGACAAAGGTGTCACCTGGCCTCTAACCCCTTCCTGGGTTCTCACATTACATGCTCAGGTATCCTCCCTCATGGCCAGTCTCCCATCCCCCAATGCAGACCATCCTAGCCAACCTCCCCACTCAGCATTCAAAGACCACATTAAGAACAGTCCCAGTTCGTCACACCAGGGAAAAAATCAAACCTCCCACCATGGCGCCTCATCCGCACGGAGGATTGCGCCGCTTGCCCCGGCTATCCTGCAGCTGTTGGGACGCGTGGGCAGGGGGGATAAACCCAGGCCCTGTGAGGGCACCAAGGATTGGATGTGGCCCTGGAGATGGGGCAGGCTCCAGGCACAAGAGGAGAGCATGGGAAGGCTTTCCCTGCACTGTTGAGGCTGCCCCTGTTCGGGGGACAGAGACTCCGGGGTTCTCAGCCAAAATCCCTCGCGGCGTCCCACAGAGAGCGGCTCCGAGGCGGTTGCTCTGATATGCCTGGACAGGACCCCAGTGCCTGAGGGTGACCCCCGATAAAAGAGACAGCTCACGGACTTGTCCGAAGGAGGTGTGGGGGTCAAGCCCTCCTTTGCAGGGCTTTTGGTGCAAGTGTCTGCAGCGTTGCCTCGACAGCGCTGGAGCACCCACATGCTGCTGCATGTAGAGACCTACAGAACACAGCGCGACTGGCCAAGACCAACCTGCCCTTCTGCAGTAACAGGACTTTATCCTTCAAAGACTCGTCCAGCTGGTCCAGGAAAGGTGTGATGTCAACGGGCTCCTCAACGATGGTTTCTTTGATTGGATGGAACCTGAATTCCCTCTTCTTCCCTGCAGTGGAGAAAACAACTCAAGTGAGCTGCCTGCGTGACGGGGTCTGGAACGTGCTGGCACCACCGCAAACCCGAGCCGCCAGCCAGACCCGACGGAAACCACTGCGCCACCCCTGTGCTCAGCGCGGCACTGCTGGGTACAGGAGCACGCCACATTCAGCAGCCCGGTTTCCCGGCTCCACTGCCCCAGACGTGTGGGGTACGAGGTGGGACCTGGATC